TCTTTTACCCTTTTAAATACGAAAAGAGCAGCCACACAAAGAAAGAAAGTGTTACTGTATGTAATAGTGGATAAAAATGTTATAGCCAAGAAAGCAAACAAAAAGCATCATTGTACTGCTCACTTTTGCAGTACACTTGCGAGGGAATGTTCAAAAAATCCACTCTATCTACAATCAACCTATTTATAGTCACAAAGATTACACCCACAAAATTTACTTTCACTCCATCTATGACCACAAATAACAAAAAAAATCTTAATGTCTTAACAACTATAAGAACAGCAGTGGTTGAAATCAACCATGGAGGGGGAAATTTCTGTAGAATAGTTTATTCAACTAGAGGTCGGGGTGTTTTTGATGATGATGGTTTTGAGCGAAATGTTGAAGTGTTCCCTTCCTTTTTCTCTGCAACTGAAAGGGAAGAGGAAGAACAAACAGAAATCAATTCTCCTTTTGATAGTTTTACATCAACAAGTATAAAGAAAGCAAACCAAAAAATAGTCAAATAAAGAAAACATGTGGTGGAGAAACTTTTGATATTTGTGAATGGCCATCAAACCTTACCTAAAGGAGTTGTGTCACATATTTCAGCAGGCTTCAAAATTCACACAACCATAATATGTAGACTTTGGTCTGCAACAAACATTCAGTTAGACAATGACATATTGGTTAATGTAAAAAGCAAGAAAAAAGGTCAAATGGGGAGCAAACAAAAGGTGTCTGATTTATCTAGTCTTCAAGTTATACACCTTCAACAAATGACAACAACAAGATCTCTATTAAGTGTTCTTGAAATCAATCACTCTGTTGTGTATAAATTGCTAAAATGTGGACAAGTTAGAGACCATAGTACCATACAATCAATATCAAACCTAAGCTATGTCATTCACACATGCTAAAGGGGCTAGAATATATCTTGGGTCAGATTCTTCCAAGGCAAGTTCACACACTTCCTAAATTTAGTGTAATGTATAATATGATTTACATTGATGAGAAAAGGTTTTGACATGTCACAACAAAAGGTTTTACCTATTTCCTTGGAGGATGACCGTTATAGAAGTTGTTAAAAACAAGAAAAATGATGCACGCTAGACCACACGTTTTCAGTTGAAGTTGAAGTACAATGAGATGGAAAAGTTGGTATTTTCCCATTCACTGAGGTGGTTTATGCTCAGAGAAATTCAACAAATACACTTGGTGGCACTCCAGAAACCAACACAATACAAAGTGTGACAAGGGAAGTTATTAGATCAAATCTCATCTTTTCAGTCTTACCAACAATAAGAGAAAAACGGTCATTTAATGCATGTAAAGATATTTGAATCAACAAGATAATGTAAGACATCATATAAGTGTTCATGATGAAGAATTTACTAAAAGAGCTACATCTTTTGGATTCAGTATTAGAATGACATGTCAGTCAACCCAAAGCCCAGATTTAAATGTACTTGATTTTGGCTAGTTAGAGGTGTTCAGTCTATTCCATACAAAGTCTTTCCTAAGGATGCGACTACAGTAGTTAATGCAGTTAAAGATGCATACTATGCTTTTGAACCAAAGTTACTAAACTATACCTGTTTCATCTTCAGTACGTTGTGGTAGAAGTATTAAAAGTTCAGGGTGGTAATAACTACAAGAACCCCCCACATTGGAAAAAGAAAAATGGATAACCTCGGGGTATTGCCAATAAGCATTGACATTCTAGAAAACTTAATGTCAGAGGCAAGACAGTACATCATAGATGGTGAAATTCATTTAAGTACAATGATAAGTCCATATTTCAACACACATTTGATGCGTGTTGATCAACTTTTGATGGTTTTCCTAGCTCAAAAGTGTCATAAGTCTCATTTTTAGCTCAAGTCATATTTTACCGGGCGTTGGTTCGTGTTTGTTATTTTTGGAGTAAAAAACAGGGAATTAAGCCCGACACCGGCGTTTGAGAAGTAATCCAGAGAGTTGAGACACATTTGAGAGTTGATTAGGAGCATTGGAGGTCAATGAGGTGTTAAAGACGAAGTTTTGAAGATAAAAGAGCTCTAGAATTGGCTACGAGATCAAAAGAAGACGAATTGAGATTGAAAGCGGCGATCAGAATGACGTTCTGTCAATCGTTCAAGCATATTTTTTTTGTAGAAACATCCAACGTGCACGATTCAAGTTTCATATGAAAGCTAACTTCAAGGGCTACAAATCATATGGACACCATGACGAGAATCTGAGAGGAACAAGGTGAAAACAGACGATGCAGTCAGATAATCGTTGTTGAGATTTCAGATTGGTTGATTCAAATCCAATTTTGCAAGTTGTGGTAGATAGAGGACTTCATTATTTACAACTTTCATGAGGGCAACATTGTCAAATTCGGAAAGGAAGGGTGCACGCCGCGTGCCCGAAGTTGGTCACGCCGTGCCCGCTGAGGGAAACAACGAAGACCTTAGTGCCGGTCAGGCACGCACGGGGTCAGGCACGCCGTGCGTGCCATGGATGCATGTCGTGCCTCCGGACGCACTAGGATATGCACGCTGTGCGTAGGTGCCGTGCGTGCACTCCCAATGTCCTTTTTCGGCCAGAAATACTCCGCTTTTTCTATTTAAATAGCCCGCAAACCCCCATTTTCGCTGGGGAGCTTAGAGAGAGTGCCTAGCATGAAATTTAGGTAGTTTTTTTTGCCTTTTTCATACACCGATAAGCCCAACTAAGAAAATTGCACTTATTTAATTTAAGATTATGGGTATGTACAATTTGAACATAAAGACAAGTTGCGTCTATCTTTTGGGCACAAAAGCATGTTAAGAACCATCGCCGGACCTGATATTTATATTTTGTGTGTTCAAAGTACACATTTTCTCTTTAATATACTAATAAATAAATAATTACTCTAATTTATATATATAGTATATACACACACACATATTCCCATTATTTTTTATTTTTGGGTGTTCACATGAACACTCTTGAATAGAAGAGATCTGCCACTGTTAGAAACTGCTTAATCTTAGTTTTGTTTATATAGGCAACAAGTTTTTGTAAAGAATGTGTTGTATAGGCAACATATTTTATTAGAATGATTGGGGCAACTTACTTTTGTAAAGGATATGTTCTACACTTTTAGGAACTGTTTTTTGCTAATGTTTTATATCTCGACCGGTTCGATTATTTGATTAAAGAGATATTACCCAAAATAGGACTAAAAAAGTTTGAAAATTCCAAAATAGGACTTCTATATTTTTATTCCCAAAATATGACTAATTACTGTTATGTTTTGGCAGTACCAGACTTCACATGGCAGTATATTCCAAATTTGGCAGTAACTAGTCCTATTTTGGGAATAAAAATCTGACAGTCCTATTTTGGAATTTTCAAACTTTTTTAATCCTATTTTGGGAACTTTCCCTTGATTAAAAGCACACAGTGTGGTTGCTAATTGTTTTTTCTTCAAAATTTGTGTGGCTAGTGTTTCATGTTTTAAAATATTTGGAACCATAGCAGTATTTAAAGTTTATGTTGCCCAATATTTTCGTGTCATAATGTTCAAAGATCATAATAGTTTATGTTGCTTAATGACATAATTTATCACCATAAGAAAGCACAAAACTTACAGAGCTCTCATTCAATTGTGTTGCTTAATGTTAATGTTTATAGATAGAATTTCTTTTCAGAGTATCTAATCACTCCATAATGCTCTAGCCATCAGATAATGAAGGATGTAAAAGTCAAATTGCTTAATATTTCATTTCCAAATAGAAATGTTGTACTACCTTCGTCCCCCTAAGTTTGGAACAAGAGAAAGTGACACAGTTATTAAATAAAAGTAGGTTTATGTGGTTGATATTAAATTGATAAAGTAAGTATAAAATAAGAATGCTTTAGAACCACACAAACTTTAACAAATAAGGCATGAGTCAATCTTAGTGGGACGGACCTAAATGGTAAAATGGGACAATCATAGCGGGACGAAGGGAGTATTTAATTTGAAACTGTCGAAAAAAAAGTAGGGATGTCAAAAAAACCCGACCCGCAATGACCCGCCATGCCCCGAGACATTTGGGGCGGGTCTGACCCGCCCCGTCTTGCAAATGGGGCGGATCCGCCCTGCCTATACAATGAGGCGGGTCCGGGTATTAGTATTGACCCGTGCCACCCCGACCCGACCCGACCCGCTAATTATATAACTATATAAGTATACATACGTTTTCTTAAATTATACTACAAATATACTTCAACATTCATATGTGTATATACAAAAATCATAATTTTTTTGATCTTATAATATATTAATATATATATTAGAATGAGATGAACGACGGATTATCAATGTCTTCTTTATATATAGCATTTTAATACACACATTCAATTATTAATATAATTAAATAGATTAACTATTCAAGTCTGAGTAATTTTTCCTTAATTTTTGAATTTTTTAGCGTATCATGAATTTGATTTAATATATTGATTTTTTAATTACTTATTATTTAGAGATACTTTATGTAGATTCAATGAGTAACAACTTCCCACAAATAAAAATACATAATAGCAAATTAGGTTTTGACAAGGCGGAGCGGGGACGACCCGCCCCGCATGGGTCATGGGTCAACAAGTTTGGACCCGTGCAGGTCACGAGGTGGTGCGGACCCGCCCCGCCAAATCACGGGGCGGGTCCGGGTCTTGCAGTACCCGCCCCGCCTCGCCCCGATCCATTGTCATGCCTAAAAAAAGTGTTGCACTTATTTAAGAACACATGAAATATAATAAACCCAATTTTCTTACCCTAAGATTTTACAATTTACATCCATGAAAAGTTTCTAATTATGCAAAGTACGGAGTATTCAATTTCATACACAAAAGTCTCATTAGTACAATTTTATCTTTCTTGCAAAAAAGTACACTCAAACCACGTTGCCTACAGTGGTGATTTTCGCTTTCTTTTTACCACATTTCAATAATTTTTTTTTTTATTTCAAGTATTTCTTGACACTTTGCCTGAAAAATTTAGAAAATTTAAATCTTTCTCACTTTCCTCTTCTTTAATGTTTTGGCAGGAAAAATGACAAATGAAACTGTAAAACCGAGTACTATATATAGATAAATAGATGTAAAATTGGGGACTTTTTTATGCTCTTTGATCTTCGTTTCTGATTCCTAGAGTTCTGCTGTGCATAGGATATTGATGATCTGAAGAAAGCAGATCTCGGTGTATCATTTGGTCTGTTGATTGTTTGAGACTGAGACTCATGGCAGCTCCAGGCGGACTGAGACCGGGGAGTGCACCTCCGAATTATAATCCGAATGCAGTTGCAGATGATATCCAAAACCTTCAAATCGGAAGACCTAATCAGCCCCCTTCAAATTCCCCCAACGTGCCAAGGCCTAGTTCAGCTGTGGGTCAACAGCCTCCTCATAGCTCACCATTCGGACAACGGCCGTCTACTTTTGCTTCTGGACCTCCCGGAAGCCGCCCAGGACCGCCCCCTCCGGGTGTATTACCCAGGGGTATGACTCTGCAAGGTGCTGGGCCACAAAATGCGTTACCTCCAAATATGGCTGCTAGGCCAACAGGTCCTCCTTTTGCAGCCAGGCCTCCACCTGGTTCGCTGCATTCTTCAATGGGTGGCCCTTCTGGCTCTCCGCATATGGGTCCTCAGCAGGGGCCTTTTGTGGGTTCACCATTTGCATCAGGTTCTATTGCTCCGCCATCAAGCATTCCGGCTGCAAGAAGTAATGGGCCACCTGTGCTTGGATCAGGGCCAATGCAAGGTGGATCACCATTTCCCAATGTGTCGCGGCCACCACCGTTTGGAGCTCCACCACCAGCTATGGTTTCATCTCAAACCCCTTCCCAACCTCCAAGCATGCGTTCTCCCTTTGGGAGTCCACCTCCGGCTGCACCAGTTTCATCACAACCACCAATTCCATTTTCAGCGCCCCATCCCTCCGCCCCCTCACCATTTGCAGTACCCGGTCGTGGTGCACCTCCACCTCCACCCTACATGCAAACATGGCAAACACAACCCAATCAGGTACATTTTATGCTTCAGTAAACACTTCACTCACATTTTGTTTGTTTAGCCAAAATTTAGCAAAGAGCGCAGGCAGGACTTAATATCTTGTTAAACTATGCAGTACTTTCATGTGAAACTTCGTGACTCATATTTCAAACATTCACTGTCTGCATCATCATTGCCTAAATTCCATACTCTGAAGTCTGAACAGATGTCGTAGAAACAAGTCTTCTTATGTAAAACTGAAAACACTGTTGGCGGTGCATGTGTATTGTTCTGCTTTTATGCTGAGCAGTCGAGCACAGATCCTGAGTTACTCATTTGATAATTTCACAGGTGGCCGCTCCTGGTTCAATGCAGCTTCCTAGGACGTATGGAGCCCCCCCTCCACTCCAAAGTCAATCAGTGGCTTCTATAGCTTCTTCCCCGAGTCACACTGGTGCTTCTGTGATGGGACCATCAAAAATTGATCCGAACCAAATTCCTCGGCCAATCCCAGATTCTGCTGTGATTCTCCATGAAACTCGTCAAGACAACCAAGCCAATCCTCCTCCGGTAGTGGGTCTTATCCTGCATTTTAACACTCTTTGATATTAACAATTAATAGCTAAATAGTATATTACAGAAGGAAATACACTCTCATGTGCGTGCGTGCATTGATACATACATACCGTACTTTATAAACAAAACCTTTAGCTTACACTTCTGAGTTCGTGAAGAGAGTTACAAACACACATACCCAATTTATATAAATTTTTATGATGTAATGGAAAAAGTGACCTCTTGCTTACATTTCTAGAATTTGTGAATATTAAGGGGATCTTTTTTGTTTAAGTTACCAATTGACCATATTTAAGCTCCATACCCGATCAAATTGTTTCATATGATTTGTGCTATTTTTTGTTATATGATACTGCCACCTTTTATATGGACTATGAGATATTCATCTTTACATTGTAACACTTTTTGTATTGAATTTCATATTTTAACACATAATTGCTAATCGTTTATCTTGAAGCCTGCCACGAGCGACTATATTGTCAGAGATACTGGAAACTGTAGTCCACGCTACATGAGGTGTACAATTAATCAGGTAGCTCATATTCTTTTTTTCATATTCAAGCACAAGTATTATGTTTTGTCTTGAAAAACTGATGCTTCTAAATGCTACTCTACTTTAAATGCAAAAAGATTTCTAATTTATGCGGTCCATGCTTTTTGTCCTGCAGATTCCTTGTACTCTTGACCTTTTGACTACATCTGAGATGCAGTTGGCTCTGTTAGTGCAGCCCTTAGCTCTTTCACATCCCTCTGAAGAACCCATTAAAGTATTTCTTCCCTTAGATTAATAAACTCTTTCTCTCAAACAAGTTCCGCAGTTGGCTTTAGAATCAACAATTAATTTACCAACCAGTTACACCTAAAACATTCAGAAATGGCCTAGTTGTAGTCCATTAATAACAAATTACTTTGCATGGCCACAATAACTATACCGTGAGCTGATTTGTCTACAAATTTGGATGCATGTTATTTGGCATCGAAGTGTTAGTTCTAATATGATATCAACATGTGCCACAAGTGGTTCTAAAATTATACTGAAATTTGACTTAGCCAGAATACATTTTGTTAGTTTGTTCAATTGTTTTTTGAGAAAGCATAAAAAAACTGAACAAAAAAATATTTGAGAATTTCAAGTTCACTCTTTTGTACTACGTTAAAGTACCACAAAAGCAGCCATCTTTTGAAAAAGTTAAGAACATGTTTAAAAATGGAGTTAGAAAGTTGGTTTGAGCTTCATAATTGATTTGTTTGTTTTTATTTTTTTGTTCCCCTTCTACATTTTGTATTACACTTGCTGTTGTAGGTTATTGACTTCGGAGAAAGTGGTCCTGTCAGGTGCTCTCGTTGTAAGGGCTACATAAACCCATTTATGAAGTTCATTGATCAGGGAAGGCGTTTCATCTGTAACTTATGTGGTATGTAACTATGTATAACACATAATTTTCATCACGACGCATATGTTTACATATTATATGCACATGTCATACCTATTTTCGTTCCTCCTATTCTACTTCGGATATTCAATAGTAACTTGTTTATCTATTTACTACACCTTGCCCAGTTGTCCCTAAAGAAACCGCGTTTTTATTATTTCTGCGGTCAATTTGACTTCCTTTTTATCTCTAATTTTATGTACCGAATTTCCGTCATATTCATATTTGTGTTTTTGGGTTTTAATAGACCTTCTAGTATAACTTTTAAATATGTAAATTGTTAACAATTGCCCTAACTTATGTGTTATCGCAGAAGAATTAATTTTATCATCGGTCAAAGATCCTAAACCAACAGAAAAGTTTATAGTTTTTAGTAATGTGGTAGTATAGTCTTATTGTTGCACAACAGACTTGGAGTCATCAAAACTTTTAATGGTGAATAATGGCTTTGTGGTTAGCTTTAGCTTAACGTCTTTGTGTGTGTTACTGTCTGCTTTCTCTTCGAGTTAGTTCAAATGGTGGCTTATGAATTTATGAGGAAAATTACAACTGTCAATTGTTTTATATTGCAGGATATACGGATGATACGCCTCGAGACTATCATTGTAACTTGGGTCCTGATGGCAGGCGTAGAGATGCTGATGAAAGGCCAGAGCTCTGCCAAGGAACTGTGGAATTTATTGCTACCAAGGAGTACATGGTAAGCAGCACATATGCTAACTTTGGAATGGATATGTCTTGACAATTTGGATGCATAATACCAGGTTTATGAAGATCGGAAGTGTATAGTCACATCACGTATTCAAGTGGTTCATAAAAAACTGTACCGATTCAATAGATATGGGCTTGGAAGCCAAACCTTTTGACTCTAATGATTTGTAACATTTTTGAATAATGATTTCTGGGAGTGTATTTTGACTATAAATAACACTTTTGCGCATTTCAGGTCAGAGATCCAATGCCTGCTGTATATTTCTTCCTTATTGATGTATCCATGAATGCAGTACAGACAGGTGCAACTGCAGCAGCTTGTAGTGCAATCAGTCAAGTTATTTCCGATCTTCCTGTAAGTCTGCTGCCTTGTTTGATGATGATTTGATCTCTACTTTTATTTTATTATTGGATACAATGACCATGAATTAGCTACATCAAAATATCAAATAACATGTTGGGACTATCGTGAATTGAAGTTCCTAATTTGACATTTATGCTTGAACAGTTGAACACTTGAAGTTTATGCTAGTTTTGTATAGGAACCACGGGAGGTAGAAACAATCTGTTGATTTTTGGGGTCTTTAAATTCAGAAGTTTAGTTTTGAATTTCATATTATTGCTGACTGCATTGAGATGTTGATGCCCCCTCGTTGTTTGTGTATGCATGTATGAGTGTGTGTGTGCACACTCTTATGCCACTTTTTGTTCCATCAGTATTTGATCCATGCCATCCATCTACACGTCTCTTTACTTTGTATGACATTTTTTTGCAGGAAGGTCCTCGAACATTTGTTGGCATTGCTACCTTTGACTCGACGATTCACTTTTACAATCTAAAACGTGCCTCACAGCAGGTTAGTTTCTTTGGTTTCACTTTGTGGATTAAGGCTGTTACTGCAATGATGGTAATGCATTATTAAAATTTGTGAAAATTTTCACTTCATCATTTTGGTCGGACATTTGCTGGCAATCTCTCTAGTGAATAGTGGAAATATCACGTGAACACATTGTTTATATATTGCTGCTGTTAATGCAGGGATGTATCTAGCATTGTATTATGTTGCCAATATGACTTCACAAGTATCTATTGGTGTTCAGTACATCAGTATCATTATTATGTAAAATTAGTTAGCAATTAGCACTACAAAATCATAATTTCATGCAAAAAAGCTGCGAAAAAGCACCATGGCAAGGTCGAATGCCGGATCCCTCATGCCCTTCTCGGCACAACCCTTATTGTGAAGGAAAAATGAGATTAGTTTCTAAAATTATCAATTTGCAAGTAAATTATCATTAGGTGGAGATGAATTGAAATAATTGCTGTAGTCGCGTCCCATTACAAGATTGAGATGGTTATGACATGCTCATCATGTAACAGGGCCCAGCTTTCACTATATATAAATGAATATGTTTTGGAAAGTATGTTACGTTGACTTAATTTCATAAAAAATGGATCTACTGTTGCAGCTAAGTCTAAGTGCTTTTTTATGATAGAAAGTGCTTAATTTGATTCCTGAACTATCTTGCAGCAGCCATTGATGCTTATAGTCCCTGATGTGCAAGATGTCTATACTCCCCTTCAGACTGATGTTATTGTTCAACTCTCTGAGGTCTGCTCTCCTAAAACTTCTGCACATATATTACCATGCTGGCGCGCATAAACATATTACATATGCATGTGCATATGCATGCGCATTTATATACACACATACATACATACATACATGCATGCATGCATGCATGATTACATAAATACATACATACAGTCCATTATTCAGATCACAGCATTTATATTAGTGTTGTACTGTTGTCTATTGTTACAGTCTCGTTATTGTCATCACCTTGAAGCATCACTCAGAGTCTCAGATGCAATAATTTTTTTCGTGTTTTGAGTTTCAGTGTCGTCAACATCTGGATCTTCTCCTAGAAAACATCCCTTCAATGTTTCAAAACAACAGGACTGCTGATTCATCTTTTGGTGCTGCAATTAAGGCATGCATATTTCTCTTTCTACTATATAGTGAATTAAGAATGTGACTTCGTAAATGATTTTTTATACCCGTTCCTTAACTACTAGACTCGATAGTAGTATGATGTGTACACTTGTCCGTAATTAAACTTTATATATATCAAGCACCAAGTTGGTGCAGGTCATATAAAAGGAGAAGGATGTTATGAAGAAGAAACAAGCAAAAGAGCTGATGAATTGGTTAAAGTTTTTTTTTTTTTTAATGATTCAGCAACACTTGTTTAATCTGTTGTAAATATGGATCACATAACCACCTAAGTGTAGCACTTTGAATTGTAGAAAGGAAGGAGTTTGCTTAAAAAAATAAAATGCCTTTTGTCCTCAAATAGTCTACTTGCAAGGCAAGGTGATTACAGCTCGCAGATGAAAGGTTGAACTTGTATATTAACTTAAGTTATTCAAATGGTTCTCCTTTGAATGGAGTCATTCGAATCATAAAATTACAATATTACATGTTATCATACAATTTGACGTTAATGCTCTGATTTAACATGCTAGCAAGGCATAATGCCTTGCACATACCATTACATGTAAAGTTTCTAGTTTGGCCAGAAATCCTAGACATGGTATCTGATGAGTACGCGTTTGTCTTTTGTGTCATCCAGATTTAAATTATCCACCACTTGCATGTGTGTTCATTATACAACCATGTGATGGTGTCAAAGCTGAGTTGAATGTAATTATAAACTTTGATTTCTTTCATATTTAGGTGGCACCTAAAAAGAATGGATTAATGCTCTGTTTCCACAGTACAAGAAGAATTATAGATAACAAAGGAACCTTAGCGATTTTCAGACTTCTCAGATTTTGTCCTGGCTATATTTACATGTTTTTCTTTGCCTTCTACTAGTGTTTTTTTATATCTATACTACTAAGCACATAAAAATAATGGCGAGAGAAGAACAAATATTCAATTCATATCATGTGGTAATTTTAAAATTCATTTATTTTATTGTTTGCGTATTTTTAATTTTTGTCACATCAGGCTGCTTTCTTGGCAATGAAAAGTACTGGAGGAAAACTTCTTGTATTTGAATCAGGTAAGCTCCAAACTCCTCCTATGAAGCCGAGGATGTCTTGAATGGGATCTAATTAAAAGATCAATATTTTTTACCCATTAATTAATTAGAATAATAATCAGTTTCTTGCTTCGGCCAACAATATCAATTAGTCTCATCACATGATAGCCGACCGGACAACCCCAAAATGTTTTGGAATTAAGGCTTGGATGTTGTTGTCTTGCTTTTGAACTTGTATGTAGTCTTCTGCCCTTCTGTTGCTGCTTAACTGCTTTCATTGATTGTTAAGGGGGTTGGAACTTGGAATGATGAAATAGACTTGAGTGTAAACTAGAAATTAAAAATTAGCTTGAAGCTTTCATCAATAAAATAAATTTCTTTGTTGTAGGTGCCCGTTGAAATCAGTATATTATATTTTCAATGTGGTTGGCCCATTGAACCCTGACTCTCAGAAACAAATGAGAATTTGAGAACTTAAACATGTGTAGTACATGAAAGAGCTCTATCTTTGAAACAAACTGCAAAATTTAATATTTAAAGCATTCCTCTTTTGGTGTTATTAACAAACAAATAATGTACGCATTACTTTTATTATGACACACATACCCTGATGGAATAATAATATTATCGTGTTACACAGTGTTACCATCTATTGGGCTAGGAGCTCTTTCTGCCAGGGAAGCTGAAGGAAGGACCAATATATCTGCCGGGGAAAAGGTAACTGCATTTTTTTGTGTGCTTATCGTTGCTGCTTATTCTTTATGTGCCTTTCTATTGTATGCCACATGTTGACATATTGGAAGGTAATAAACATGCATGGAAGTTGAGATTTTGTTGAGATCCAAAACTCCCTAAGCTTTTGACTAATCTACGTGCCTGTCTCTTACAGCCATTCATCCAATCTTATAAATGGTCTACGAACTTTTTAAAACTATCACAATAACTAAGAATACAATACAATATTGGACTTACCAAACTGTATGAGTTTTATAAGTATCATCAAGCTTGAAGAAAAATGACTTCTGGTTACTTAGTCACCACTTCCACATTCCACATACTTTTTCTCACCAAAAAAATAGTACTTACTCTGCTGAGTCACATGTAATTTTGTGAAGCGTGTATATAGCCAGCAGGAGATTCCACAATCAAGACATTTTCTGTCCATTCAATTTGATGCTTTTTGTTTGACATGTGATGTGATTGAAGACATCATAATATGGCTTATTCTGAATGATCCATTGGCCCTCAAATGAAACGTTACCAGAATCACTCAGGCAATGTGGAGAAGGGCATCAAAATCCTTCCATTTCGGTTTTTATGCCTGTCCAGGATAGATAATAGCTCGGGGCCTGGGGTATACATGAAGAATATAATTCTCACCAGCATGGGGTGTGAGAAATTTATTGTAGCATCACTTTTAAAACTGTGAACCAACAAGTGAAGAATAAATCATACTCCCTCTGTATTGAAATGTTTGCTACACTAGGGTTTGGCACAATATTTAAGACAAAAGTACTAGGGATAATGAATAGTGTAGAAAAAGTAGGAGAGAGGGTGGAAAAGTGTGAAAGAGAAGATAGAAATTAGAAAAGTAAGGTTAATTGAGTATTTCTAAAGGGAAAACATACCTAAACAGACGTGGACTAGAAGAAACAGAACTAATACGATTCTTCTTGGGTTAGATGAGAGTATGATCTTGGAGAGAGTAAAGTGGAGTCGAAGAGGGCGCATATTCGTGTTGACGATTGATCTCTTTTCTCTCTCGTTCTTTTACCTTATTTGTTCTCTATCTTTCTATATTCTTATGCTATTTTTATCTTTTATCTTTCTTATATTCTTTTCTTTCCATCATTTGCAATGGAGCCAAAGATTCACTACTTTTTTGCTTGAGAATACGATGAAAATCATGAAATAAAACAAAATGTCTCTCTAATCTTTCTTATATTCTTTTAATCATATATTTATTTTTATCTTATTCATTTGATCTTACATTAACTTTTTTATTTTTTTTTGGCTCTTATATCATGTATCGATTCATGATTGCGCACCCCAAAACCTTTTGGGAATAAGGCTTGGATGTTGTTGTTGTTGTATCTTTCTTATGTTCTTTTATCTTGTATTTAACTTTATCTTATCCTTTTAATATTACCCTATCTTTTTATTTTTCTTATTTTTCTGTTCTTTTTGGCTCCGATATCATGGATTGATTCATGTTCGGTGACCCCAAAATCTTTTGGGAATAAGGCTTGGATGTTGTTGTTGGTTTAAGCTTTTGGTAAAGCTTGAAACATCTACCTCTCTTTTGGAGATTGAATATAGCTTTTGTATCGGGGAAAATTACTCCAATATAACTACAGATGTCTTTTTCATATCGTATGACCTTATTGATAATAAAAGACTGAATATACATGATGATGAAAGTGGCTAAAAATAGGAACATTAAAATACATGGACGTGGATGGTAACATACATCACTTTAGGAAAAAGTGAAAAACACATTTGTAATCATATATGAGGAGAACACACGTCTTTTAGTAATATTAGAGGTAATTTTCTCTGTGTATAAATGACACGTGCTAACAATTTCAGGAGACTCACAAGTTACTTCAACCAGCTGACAAGATTTTAAAAACAATGGCTATTGAGTTTGCTGAATATCAGGTGATTCTTGTTGTATTTCATTATGGAAACACAATTCTTTACATTGCTGGACAAGGGTGGTTCCAGCGTAGCACCAATTCAGCTCCATTGTGGACATTGTGTATGTGGGCGTTTGATTCATATGAGTTGAACTATGTTTCAGGTCTGTGTTGATGTGTTTCTTACCACACAAACATATGTTGACATTGCTTCCATCTCTGTAATCCCAAGAACAACTGGGGGCCAGGCAAGTGCTAAGTTTTCTCTTATGCTTACTCATGTTTTTCTAAGGCCATTGATCCTTTGAGTCTTTGACCTTTTCCCTTTCATTCAAATGTGTTGGAGTATTAGCGGACATTTTTGTCATGCCTTCTATAATAATAATTTCTCAGCTTCAATTATTTAATTTATTGTGTTGACATGCCAAGGCTTGGGACTAAATTTTGTGCTGTTAATAGGTGTACTATTATTACCCTTTCTCTGCACTTTCTGATCCAGCCAAGCTTTACAACGATCTTCGCTGGAATATTATGCGGCCTCAAGGATTCGAGGCTGTAATGCGTGTGAGATGCAGCCAGGCAAGATTCTTTTTTTCTTTTGTTATTCCTTTGCTTAGGAAACTTTTCATGCGTTGAATGTATAATGTAATGTGTACATGTGCTCTCTCTGATCTTCATATTAGCTTCCATCTCTAGAGTAGGTGGTGGCTATTCTCCACCCCAGGACCGATAAAACTCCTTTTTAACAATTATCACTTAAGCAGACATCCATGATAAATATCTTTGGATATTAAACTTGTGTTAAACATTGTAATGTGGACAGGGAATCCAAGTCCAGGAGTACAATGGAAACTTTTGTAAACGAATCCCAACTGATGTTGATCTACCTGCGGTTTGTCTCTCTCTCTCTCTCTCTCTCTCTCTCTCTCTCTCTCTACCTCTCTCTGTCCCCCATATCGCTGTGTGTTTATGTGAACTGTTGAACACTCTGTATCCAACCCTGGTAAAAAAACTCGCATTCCCCAAACTAAACAAAAGATTACATGAAGAGTAGTTCTCACAATTATACTCTCTTTTAGTATTGTTTGGTTATTGATCCTTATTTACATTTAGATACGTGATGACTAGGTGGAACCTTTACATGCATAGAATGAGTGATCTAGTAATTGGGTTCTGGCAGTTAGTATTCTTGATGTTTGAACTTCACAATGAAGCAAGAGATAACTGAATTGCATCATAGCTATCTTTTCTATTCAGTAGTGTGCTACCCAAAAGCAACAGTCTCTCTGTGCTTTACTACTGGGGTAAAGGCGGCGGACATCCGACCCCCCCTTACCCCCCACTATAGGTGGAAGCTTTTGCGGCATTGAGGTAATGTTGTTGTTGTTGTCGACATTGTCCAATGACAGTTATCCTGTCAGCATGTCTCTCTTTATTGGTGACTTGGTCCACTGACATCTTCCCTTCCCTGGCATATGTATTATTAGGGCTGTATTTGTTTACCATTGCATTTGGGCAACTTCACTTTAAACATAATTTTTTTTAAACTCATAAAACCTTCCTATATATAGGTTGACTGTGACAAGACAATAATGGTAACCTTGAAACATGATGAGAAATTGCAGGATGGTTCAGAATTTGCTTTTCAGGTACGGTGTTAATGTGTTATTGTATCAATATATTGTATTATCCAAAGAGGCTGAAGTTACCCTTCATTACAGAGTGAAATCTTTTAAGCCTTTTATTTTGAATTTATTCTATTTGCAAATATAGTTCCATTCAGATTCTGTTTTGTGTTGTCTAGTGTGCTCTTCTGTACACTACAGTGGGTGGCCAAAGAAGAATACGAGTTTCAACACTGTCTCTACCATGCACCACTATGCTTAGTAACATGTTCCGGTCAGCAGATTTAGATACCCAATTTGCTTGTATCTTGAAGCAAGGTATATCATTCTCAATTATTACTCTCTAGATTTTGATTTTTTACGTCAAAGCTCGCCACACAGACACTTGCACATAGACATGCAAAATAATGGGATGTTCTCATATTTTAGCTTATTAGAATATGTAACCTACTAAATACTTGTGTTTGTGTTTTACTTTTTCTGAATTGAGGCCTGATTTTCTGTTCACCTTTAAACTAGGATTAGCTTGTTTTTAGTGTAATAATGAGTTAGAGACTCTTTATCGAAATTTATTAGACATCAGTTATCTGTTTTAGAGTCAACACTTGTCTTTTTTTACTTGCAAAAATTATCACCTAGAAAAGGTTAATAATATTCAATTACATCTACCCTTGATACTGCTAAGTAATACTCCATAAGATAGTTAATTGATTATGAGTTTCATTCCACTTATCCACTAACCTCAACATAGTTTTTGATACATTTTCAACAGTGTGTTCTTTTTCCTTTTCTGTGGTGAACAAAAAAAAGAAGGAAATTAAATAGTTGCTAAGGGCCTTTGTTGTAAATTTTAAAGAAAGAGTCCATAATTAGGTTTGGAAGGTTCATAATGAGGAAGTGTCTATGATTAATATGAAATCACATATCAACTTATCAAGGGTCAAGGTGCGAAGGTGTGAACATTCTCATAACAAGCATAAATGATGAGTATGACCAGCAACATTATTAAGTATTAACTTTATAAAAACTAGTTATAATAGTCTTCATATAGAAGAGACGTCAGTATAGAATAAAGAATATCTCTATATAGCTTTCGTGCCTAGTGTCCAACAAGCCTGTGTCTTTGCTTGTGGTTGCTTAAATGTTGTCATATGTGACACACATGCGTACATACACATGCAAGTGGTGAAACCATAACATTTTATGAGCCGGTGCTGCTCTTTGTGGGGGTCTGTGATGTGTTTGTTATACCAGAACATATATACTCCCTCCGTATTCAAATGTTTGCTATACTTCCTTTTTGGGATGTATTTTAAATTTTGCTTCACATTGCCTTTTTGGTAAAGTTTTTCCTTTAAAAAAACTCAATTACTCTTACTTTTTTTGCTTTTTCATTTTCTCTTACATACTTTTCCACCTTCTCTCCTACTTTTTCTACACTTTTCATTACCCCTACTACTTTTCCCTTAAATATTGTGCCAAACCTAGGTAGCAAACATTTCAATATGGAGGAAGTATGAGTTAAAGCTTGTTTTTTTAATCACAAAATATTTCATTTTTTCTGTCCTATGTAATCTTATTTGGAAGTTTTTTATTACTTGATTCATCTCTTTTGGCAATTAATACTCTTACTTTACACAAACAGTTTTTTTTTTTAACATTTGTTTCTTGATTTTATCTACATTTTTATCATCTTTCATTCTCTCTTCTTTTTTTTTTTGAACGGAAGCTTGCCTTTATTCATATCATAAATTTCAGGATCATTACATCAATCAAAGGAAAATCAAATCTGACTTCAACTAACCTCCAACAACTACGACTATAAAGTATAAACCCTATGATCAGACTTGGAGACGGTCACCCTGATAGAGCAACACAAATCGCTAACCACGAAGCAGGCTTGACACAACTATCCCTGGTCCCATAGAACCAAATACTCTCAATGACATAAGAAAAGGCTAAATTTCCAAACAAACTGGCAGACCCAACAATATAGACATTAACAAGAATCCAAATGACAAAATAATAATAATAATAACTAATAGGATGACTTTCACGGGCCCTAGCACCTCATACAACCCATGACGGTGGTTCAGGAGGAGGCCATACCATTGGTATCACACTAATTGATCCTCCATTGTCGATCGAAAACTGGCCTACACGAAACCCGTGCAACTCTCCTCATCTTGCACTCATAGCAAAACCAATTCTAGCGGTCATCTTCTTCGCTGCCAAGCCCTGTGATGCATTCATCTTTCCTTGCTACTTTGCGGCGCCCCAAACAAAACTCTCGTGGCCGCAACCCTTGTGGCCGAAGGAGAGATAACCTGCAACCCTCGCGCCGCAACCATCGTGGGAAGCGATAACGTGCAAAAGAAGAGAAAGAGCAACACTAGCAGCAACCCTTGTGGCCGAAGGAGATGGATCGCCGCTCCAACCTACGCCGAAGCTAGGCGGCAGAATTAGCAAACCCTAGAGAGAGGGAGACGGCCGCCTTTGTGTTCCTATAGGAATTTAACATAGGAGACCTATTTAGAAATTCCAGAACCTCATTCTCTCTTCTAAAATTCAATGTTTCTACTATTTTCATCTTACATTCTTTGAAACATTACTTGAACAATTAATTAAAACTCGAGGAGTATATCTAGAACATACTACCTCCGTCCCAAAAATACTTGACCAATTCCTAAAATTTGGACCTTGATTTTAATTATTATAATATTATGGAAATTATAAATTTTATACTTTTATGAAAGTATTTTTAACACAGAACATTTTCATATCATTTCATATTATAAATAATTTCCAATAAAAATATATAGTTCTTCAAAGTTTTCAAGATGGCTAAGTATTTTGGGACGGAGGTATTATATATTAGTTGAAGCTTATTTTTTTGAGTTATTGCATAATATTCCCTCTATTTTTATTATGTTCTCCATATTCATATTCAACATCTGTTACTCTTAATTTACATTTGGAGCTATATTTTTTTGTATTCCTTTTTCTTCTTTTATGAATATTGAATTTCAAAATTAAGTTCAAGAAGTTATTTTGAAGTTCATATCCTTCAATATGTTTTATTAAAATATTTTTCCACACTGGATTGGTATTAAATAATAAAGAATTTTGTACGTTTTTAGTCCCTGTAAATATGACACATTTTGTTTGAAATCCGTGCAAATTTTTTTGTTTTGTTTTCAATCGTTGTAATATGCACTCCATTTAGAAATAAATTGTCTGTTGCATAAATCCACTTGAAATGTTTAAGTTGATCCTTTTTTAATTTTTTAGAAGCTAATATGAAATTTAAAACAATGTAAAATTAATCATTCATTTTTTTTAAATATGTTTTTACAACCTTCTAAAACATAAAGTTGCATATTTTTTTAATAACATCACAAAGATTGAGAGGAAACCTATTAGTCGGGATTGTTTCATTCTCAAATGGAGGTTGTTTTGATCGATGAGGGACTAAAACGAAAAACAATAGAAAGGGAAAAGGGTCAAATAGGCCCTTGAACTTACATAAAAAAGGTCAAATAAGCCCTTATATAGGAGACTCTGTCCGGCCGTCTCCATTTGGGGTAGTTCCCGATGGAATTTTTTGATGAATTTTTTTTAGCATCTTATTCATCAAGTCTAGTTTACTCATACTAAATTTCAGATAACAACTCAATCGGGAAGGCATTCAAATGAATTCCTGAAGATAACTGCACTTTTATCTGCGCAATTATCTTCAAGAATTCATTTGAATGCTTCCCCGATTGAAGTTTTAGCTGAAATTTGGTATGAGTAAACTAGACTTAATGAATAAGATGCTAAAAAAAATTCATCAAAAAATTCCACCGGGAACCGCCCCAAATGGCGACGGCCGAACAGAGCCTCCTATATAAGAGCTTATTTGATCTTTTTATGTAAGTTCGAGGACCTATCTGACCCCTTTCCCCAACAGAAATTATAGAGGTGAAAAACAAAACAATAATTTTGCAAGAATGTAAAACAAAATGCCCTTTATTTAGAGGGACTAAAAACATATTTAAACGATAATAAATAGGATACCTGAGTTGTTGATATTTTCTCATTTGTGACTATACTTTTTTGAATTTTCCATAGAGATTAAGAAAAAATAGTAGGGGTAATTAGAGATATATAAAAAGTGTAAAAAGTTAGTAGGAATTGATAAAAAAAGTATGGAAGAGAACATGAAGATGTACATAAAAACTTACCCTAAATGGTTCAATTACTATAGAGGAATATGTTGCAAATATAGTATATTGTAGGAAGTATTTGGGATACACTTTGAAGTTTAAACAGGAACAAGCAGAACATAATGCTTCATATAGTCTTTCTAGTATGATAAATTTGAACCTTGGTTGCACTTGAAACCTTTTAAACCATTATCATTGAGCCAGCATATGTAGATGATATCGATAGAGAAAATTTACATATTTTATTTTTTAAAGTGTTGAACATGTTAATAAAAAACTAGGAAAATAAATCGAGTTGTTGGGATTGACCCACAACCTTAGGTTGTCTTACAGGCGCATTGACCATTCCGATGATTCTGCCAAATACAGAAATAGGAATATGATGAAATGGTATGTATATACTCATCTAAAAGTAAGCTGAAGGGGTGCTACCCTTGGCATATACTCCGTATGTACATTTACATGATATAAAGTCGCCGGAGAAGGAGAGGTACAAGCACCTTCTTGCCCCCCCAGATCCGCCCCTATACACTTACAGTATTGTGGAAAGGCCACATGGCCAAGCCTCAAGCCTTGGAAGCCTAGACATGCAGATATAAATTTTCATCGTTTGTCATTTTAATTATTCAGGAGTTATACATGAGCTAAAGAAATAGGTACCCATACAATTATATCACATTTACCGTTCTTTCAATAGATCTATAGTTCTAGTTCTTGAAGTAATATAGACTACAAGTAGAATGCCATTAATATTTTACTAATTTAAAAAAGGAAAAGTAATTTTTAGTAATTTGAACTACTTGAAGAATAGTCTAACCCTGTTTTCAGGCTTAGCTACTCTCCCTGCTGAAGTACTATGCGTAAAATGTCGACGCTGCCTCATGCCTTGTGTTTCTCGGAAAACCCTTTTGTCTCGAATAAAATAGATATACGTGTGAGGCATTATTCGCTGTTATGTGATGTTTGAGTTTACTAATTTTGTTGTGTTATGACTTGGTGTTGTTCGTTTTAACCATGAAATTTCGTGAACTTATTAGGCAATCAACTACGCTATTCTTAGTTTCTTACCTCGACTATTACTAAAAAGAAAAAACCATGTAGCCTAATAGCCTTGCCACAGGGGTGCTATGCGTGTATATTCGTGTGGCAACTGACAAGTCTTTAAAGCTTTTTTCAAGTCTCTGTAGCCTTTGGTAGCTGTGAACAATCTTATATCTTGATGTGATATGTTTGTACAAGTACTTGTTATTCTGTTAGGTGCAGTCTTGCTGTTGGTGCATTGATACCAAGCTGGCTCTAAAATATGTTTTTTTTTGCAGCGGCGAATGAAGTTCCTATAGTACCACTAACACAAATACGTGAACAAGCTACTACCCAATGCATCAATATTTTGTATGCCTATCGCAAGTTTTGTGCTACTGTGTCATCATCAGGGCAACTTATTCTTCCTGAGGCACTTAAGCTTTTGCCTTTATACACACTCGGTATGTATTATACCTCTTGCCATTTCAAGAGTGGTTCTTTGATGGCAGAGGCAGGATTTTACACCTGGGGGAGACTATACATAATGCGTACTGATTACATACTAATAAGAAATTCAAATAATTATACCTATTGAAAAAGGGTGAGGGGGAGGGAGTAGCTGCCCTATTGCCCCCCTCTGTATCTGTCACCCCTGATTTTATCACCATTAAATTGTTTCTGTATTCAATATTTGAATTATGCATTTATGCTTATAGGGAGAATGTGGATGAGTACAGAAGCATCCAAGACTGATAGAGTGTAGGACCCCACTGAATGCAAAGTAATGTTACTTAAAAAAAGAAAAAGAAAAAGAGCTGAACTATTACTGATCCTATGAAACTTTGCTGCCCATTGATATTTTCTCATTTGGCAATTGGCATATCTAACCTGCTTTGTCTATCAGTGGATGTATTAGATATATGCGATCTTTGCATGGATAATTAATATCTGTAATTTTTCAGCTTTGGTGAAAAGCACTGGATTGAGAACTGATGGTCGTATAGATGATAGATCATTTTGGATCAACTATGTCTCTCCTCTCTCTGCGCCCCTCGCAGTTCCATTTGTGTCTCCGAGAATGATAGCTATTCACGAGCTCAACTTGATGGTACAATTTATATAACTATAATGTTGTGTTATTGTTCTTTAAAGGATATTTCTCTGATCTATTGTCTTCAAATTGCCAGGAGGCTGATGCGCCTTTAATTCCACCTTCTATCCCACTTTCTAGCGAGCATCTTAGTGACTCTGGGATATATGTTCTTGAGAATGGTGAAGATTGCTTAATTTATGTTGGGAGCTCCGCAGATCCAGATATCATGCGTCAACTGTTAGGCATTTCTTCTGTTGAAGAAATTCCTGCTCAGGTAATATCTATTTCAGTTGGAATGTGCAATTATTTGAGTAATACAGCTGAAGCATAAAGAAAAACAAAACCCATATTATTGGTATGGGTCCTTCAATATCCATTCAGTTATGTGGAAGATTTTTCTTTATTAGCTTTAGATGATTACGGGAATGGCTTGGCACAAAGGACAATCAAAACCTTTGTCTGAAAGAGTTAAATAAAATGTTGAAGGGTAACCTTTGTCTCCCACATGGGTTACACACATGTGAAATTATCAAATTATGTTTTCATTAATGAGTAGGCAAACTTGAAGAGTAAATAAGGATGTAGATATCTTGTCACATGTGTAGTCCTTGTGGTAACTTGTTTCCCTCTAGTATTTCTTGTGTTTTAGTAGTATCCCCTACCCATTCCATTTTTTGTTTACTTCTGTTGAATATTGCTTGTGAATTGGATGCGCCCTCACGTTTTTCCATTTTACAGTTTGTGCTTCAACAATATGAGAATCCATTGTCAAAGAAGCTTAATGAAATCATAAATGAGATTAGGCGCCAAAGGTGTAACTACCTCCGGTATGATTTCCTTGCCGTTTTCGCCTCCCCCCTTTTCCCAGTGTGTGCGGAATCTCTAATATACTATTTTATTTGTTACGTTACAGCTTAAAATTGTGCAAAAAGGGGGATTCATCAGGTATGTGACTCAACTCATCATTGGTTTTACCTATTCCATTTCATCCTTGTCATACACAGGCACACTTGCATATATATATATATATATATATATATATATATATATATAGAGAGAGAGAGAGAGAGAGAGAGAGAGAGAGAGAGAGAGAGGAATGTTCAGGTCCGAACATTCCTGATCCGAACACCATCCGAACTTGCCCGTTTGGGGCCGTTCCCGGTGGAATTTTTTGATGAAATTTTTTGAGCATGTTCCTCATCAAGTCTAGACTTGATGAGGAAAGATCTGGTCCATCCGGAGGGACGGGAGGCTCCGTCCGAACTTTACTGTTTGGGGCGGTTCCCGGCGGAATTTTTTGATGAATTTTTTTGAACATGTTCCTCATCAAGTCTAGTTTATGCATACCAAATTTTAGCTCAAAATTAGATCGGGAAGGCATTCAAATAAATATTTTCATCAAATTTCAGCTCAAAATATTTTTTTGAACATGTTCCTCATCAAGTCTAGTTTGAACATGTTTCAAAATTCCTGAAGTAGGACTAAAAAAGTTAGGAAATTCCAAAATAGGACTCATGTTTTTATGCTCTAAATATATACAATTACTGCCAAGTTTAGAAAATACTGTCATGTTTAAAGTATAGTATTGTCAAAACATGGCAGTAATTACTCCTATTTAAAGAATAAAAACATGACAGTTTTATTTTGCAATACTTAAATTTTTTTTCCCATGTATTTTTGCGTGATTACATGTGCAACAATTATGGATTGATACAAATCTTTCATGGTATAAATACACACATGTGTGTACTGTCATACTTATTGTATCCGGAAGGAACATAAAAAATTTAGATAATTCCGGAATGCTGTTTGTTGTATGGCCTAATCATATGAATTTGACGATAAAGATTTCATTTTGATATGGGATGTCTCTCAAATGATAAGACTTCATTGGTTTAGGGTATTGTTTTCCTACAAGGTACAGAAACTTTTTTACTTCGGTGTATCTCTTTTTAAAAAACTGCTAGGAAGAGATGGAAAAGTATCAAGGGATTTTTTCTGTCTTTCGTACTTGACCATGCTATTATTTGTATAATACAGGAATGCTGTTTTTCTCATACATGGTTGAAGACAAGACTCCAGCTGGACTTTCATATATTGAATTCCTGATACATATTCATCGTCAAATTCAAAGCAAAATGGCGTGAAAAATATCTCTTATCAGTTGATGGGGAGGCGGGTGGTTGGCCTCAATATGGATTGATGAATATAGTGGATCAAGAGTTTTTGTTTATTATATAGGCAGGCATTTTTTTCTCAACGGGACACTATACGACTAGATTTTTTTTAAGTTTTCAATTTATTTTAGTACAAATGTCTATGTACACGCATGTTTGAGCCATACGAACGATAACGGATAGTGATGAATAAAGAAATTTTAGAACAGATTTATGATGGGTACATTCTTAAAAGAGGGGAATTGTGATTCAGATTTCAGATCATGATGTCAAAACCGTGCAGCCGGTACAGATGCACTCATTCAAGCACCGGCCCAACCTGAATATGCGGTGGTCAACCGGATCAATTAAAGGTCAACCTGGTCAAAATTGCCTAAACATAAAAAAGGAAAGAATATTACGTCTACACTTTGGGAAGACAAAAAAGTTTTCATTTTTTCAAAAATGTGATTAATCTTTATTTAATTAAGAGATAAGGGTCAAATATGGTCTCGAACTTGAAAAAAAATGTCAAATAAGGCCATATTTAGGATGCTCTGTCCGGCCGACGCCATTTGGGGGGGTTCCCGGTAGAATTTTTTGATGAATTTTTTTGAGAATCTTATTCATTAAGTCTAGTTTACTCATATCAAATTTGAACTAAAACTTTAATCGGGAAGGCATTCAAATGAATTCTTGAAGATAATTGTACCGTTAAAAGCGCAGTTATCTTCATGAATTCATTTGAATGCCTTCCCGATTGAATTGTTAGTTCAAATTTGATATGAGTAAACTAGACTTAATGAATAAGATTCTCAAAAAAATTCATCAAAAAATTCCACCGGGAACCACCCCAAATGGCGTCGGCTGGACAGAGCATCCTAAATATGGCCTTATTTGACATTTTTTTTCAAGTTCGAGGCCCTATCTGACCCTTATCCCTTTAATTAATATATTTTTCTTTTAGTTCCAATTCATACCCAACTATCCATCCCTCCCACTGGCCGCTGCCTTCTCTAGCCGTTGATGTTGGAAAATATCAACTGATTTGTTTCCCACATTTTTAAATGGTGGGAAAAGTTGTCGGAAAAGTCACCACATCAAAAAATATTGTTGAAATTTTTCTACTTTTAAGTTTTTGTCAGAAAAAATATTGAATTTTGTTTGCAATGGTTATAGTGACATGTTTTACGGTAGAAATAAAAATTAGACAGTGACATAATAATTTGGTAGTGTTATTCAATGGACTGGAAGGGAGAAGCCAAATGGGTTTTGGCTGCACGTAGATTGAGAAGAGGGGATGTGAATTAGGGAAATAAGTGGTTGATCTCTGGTGGAAGCAGAATATGTGTTAGACATGAGGGAACAAATAGCTATAGCAATTTGACCAGAACTACCTCGGTGGAAATGGCAACTACATGGTTGAATGGTTAATCTCAAGTTCTCAACGGGTAAGGAAGTGGCTGGTGGTGACCTGGTGTTCAGGAAGAAGAACCAATAAAGCGCAGAGTGATTGGAGCCGGTTAGGGGAGAAGGTATTCAAGCAAGAATGGAAGTGTTGCCTAGCAGAAACCGCCTAGTTTGTGGAGTTGGACGGGGTGGAGGGGAGTTCACCATACTACCTTTGGCGGGGCTGGTCCAATCACAAGTTTCTTTCCGATGGCTGGAAAAACTAGACATTTATCTCTTAGTTATTTTCTTCATCTCAAGACATTTTATTCACTTTTAATCCCTTTTTAGGAGCAGGTCCAAATATGTTGTTGTTAGAGTCTACATTGTAGAGGGGTTAGTGAGTTGGATCACTAGCAAGTGATATCCAGCTTTGTGTCTCATCCCTGAGTAGTCTCTTTTATGATGACTTTGTTTCTTATTATCCTAATAAATAATAATTGAGTTATCTTTTGCCAAAAGGAGCCAAAGATTCACTATCTTTTGGTTTGGGAGTATGATGGAATAAAGCAAAATGGCGCACTAGACCGTTTGTGTTTCTTTGTTATGAAGCAATAGCCAGTTCATGCAATTTTCGACGCAATTTTCACCATGGATCATCCGAAAACAGTCTCTCTGTGCTAGCTTTAGTACAAGGGCAAATGACCGGGCTAAACTTGCAAGTGTACAAGTGTCGATATAATAATAATTTCCGGTAAAATACCGGGTGGAATCCACAGGGAAATGTTTAATTTAATCTGAGATGTAGATGACTTTAAATAAATAAATGAGTAAAGTGTAGGAATTTTGATTTGTGTTGGTTATATTTTTGGCTTTTCACTTTTAATTCAAGGAAATAACTTTAATTAATTTGAGTTTAAAATAAATGATAACAACAACTAAGGCTTCGGGAATCACTTAAATGCTTTAATATGGTTGAATATTACTCCGTAGTTCTTTACCAATAATTATGAATACGATGTCGCTAATATATTCTCAACTCCGTTTAAGGCAGTGAGAACGTGATTTTCGTTACGTGTAAGTCCCGTTACGGCTTACATTCATCTACCGAAAACCCCGTTGAATATCAAGACATCACACCCGTATCATATAATACCAGATATATTTCTATTCACAGTAATATATATGTTTATCCTTTAATGTTCATAGTTTAGACTTCAACGTTAATTGCAAGTATAAATTAAACTTAACATACTTCTATGTTGTACACCATAGTCATAAACAATCAAAATATAAAGGATAAATCACAATTTATTGGTTTAGAACTTTTATCAAACACCTAGTGGACATAGAAGTTCATCCCTAACCTTAGCTAAGAAATTAGTCTCTAATGCTCATATTAATCACAATACAATATGAAATGTAATAGAACATGAAATTACAAAGGAAATAATACCTAAACACCAATGATTTCGGAGGATGAACTTCCCTCCTCAAGAACTTGGAGAAAAGTAGCAAAAACAAAATATAAAAAGTAGAAATTAATCTATGGAATGAATTGAGGGCTTTATATAGGCTAAATAATGACATTTTTTAGTCTATTCGAGGCCAACAATCAGGTATGGAAGAAATATGTGATCAGATCATGAGGAAGATGAACTTTTCCCAACAAAATATTGCAGCACGTCGCTGTGTTTTAGAAGAAATTCGACCCAACCAACGCCAGTCCTGTCCTGACCGGCGCTGGTTCTTTGTTTATTTGCGTGAATTTAAGATCCAACCGGTGCCGGTTCTCAGATGACCGACGCCGGTTACTGCGCCTGATATGCACTAATTAGTAGTGCATAAATGTATATTTTTATGTTTGATTTGTGTGTATTGTTTACCATTTTTATTAGTCTGTAAACATTTGTTTTATTTGGTTTGTAATTGTTTTTAACTTCCATTTATAAGTTGTAAAGTACTGGTAGAGTTTTTGGCCAAGGAAAAGGAATACTCACCCGGTCGGGTACGATTTAACAAGCGAAAGTGCTTGGAAAATCATTGGACCCGGTCGGGCCCCCTACTTGACCCGGTCGGGTCAGATGTAACCCGGGACAAAACGACGTGCTGAAACACAAGAACATGGAAGATTATCTGATTTTGACATGCACCCGGTCGGTTGGGCACTTGACCCGGTCGGGTACCCGGCCCAAGGTGTTGAAGAACACCTATAGCACACTTTTCCTTCACAAATAATCATTCCTTCTTCTATACTCTTAAGCTCAGTTTAGAATAGTATTTCTTTTATATTTTTATAGCATGTTTAGTCTCCAAATGAGGAGCTAAACTTCCATTTCTTGGTGTTGCTCTTGAAGCTTGTTGATTATTAAGTTGTGAGTTATTTTCTTATCTTCTTCCCTTGAATATTAATTCTTCCCTTAATCTATCTATATATTAATGTTGGAGAGTATTTCTAAGATGAAAATTAGTTAACATCTCGACATTAGTTATAGTAGTATTTATTTTCTTCCTCTATATATTATTGTTGGGGAGTGTTGCGAAGATGACAATTAGTTAACATCTTGACATTAGTTATAGTAGGATTTATCATCTTTAATATTCTTCCTTGAATATTAATTAATTTCTATTCATATTTCATATTAATACTTTGAACATTACTTAAAGGATCAACTAGTTTTGTTTCATATATAAATCATTACTAGAATCGATCGACGAATACGCTTGTTAATCGTTGATCGTTTCACAAGTAAGTAACTTCGGTTTATTAATGCAAGGTCGTGGTTAATAAACTTAAGAGGGATTAATTTTGTTGGTTAAACCGAAACCGTTCTGTTGAGGTTATCAATCTCAATTGATTTTATCAAGGAGTTAACAGATTAAATGATACTATCAAGTTGGTATTCTATACTTGACTAATAGTAAGGGTTATTAATGAACGGTCGTTGTTAATAACTACCCTCGATGAATTGGATATACTCCTCGATTGAGTATTCTCTCTGATGGGGAGGCGGGCAGTTGGACTCAATATATATGGATTGATGAATATAGTGGACCAAGAGTTTTTGTTTATTCTATAGGCATGCATTTAATTTTTTTTCCAATGGGACTATTGTTGGTCCAAAATAGGACGCTCGTAGGCTTTTAGGAAAGCTACGTAAGAACACTCAAGCAGAAATCAGGAAAACAATACAAATATGGAAAGTAGCTAGAGAGTTTGAGAGCCAAAAATAGCATCTAGAAGTTGCCTCCTTAGTTTGACTAAATAGTTACAACATTAATACGGAATTAAATACATAATTAAACAGCGCATTAATTGCTTGACCGTTACTTTTCCTGGCTGGCAGGTCGGCCGGACTGGCAGGCTCCCCGTTGGGGTGGTAGGCAGACTCCAAGTTGTGGACCTGGATCCACGGGTCCAAGTTCGCGGCTTGGGCCGATTAGGCTCTGGGCCTAGTCCCATAACTCCATCAACTATCTACAAGTAGATTTTGTTTTAATTTTTTTTATTATAAGTATCTATTTGTACAAATGTCTGAGCTGGACAATCGGTAACGGATAGAATGATAAATGAATAAAGAAATTTTAGAACAAATTAATGAATGGGGACATCCTTCAAAAAACTAAGCACAAAATGTGAAACATTTGAATATATTTACATTTGTTTATAAAAAAAGTAGAATAAGATGTTTTAAATTATTTACCATAAATAAAAGAATCATATAGTAAAAAAAGAAAATGAACTAGTGGACACAATCTTTATAAATAAATGTTTAACTTGAGACTACACTATATATTTCGTATATAGACTTATGCGTTTAATTATTTTAAGGTGACAACTCCGGTACCCATTTAAAAAATGGGGTACCGTACCTAGCACTCACATGATTGG